GATATAATGCAACAAATAAATATATTACTTGTGATATCTGTACTATTTTAGCTATATAAACAACTTTGACAAAAAAATTCATGCTGACAAAATGCAAGACAAAAAGGTTAATTTTCGTGTAGTGAGTGAGTATGGTATTACGCCGCTTTTAGCAATATTCCAGCAATATCACGGCGAGAGACCAAGTCGTTGTGACAAGCGGCGTGCTACGTTCCAGTGAAGGGCGACAGGTTTGTGTGCTATATGAATGTAGGTTATCGCTAGATCTGAGCATTCATGCGCAAGATTTCTTTTCATCTGAAAAAAGCTTGTAAATTGTAGATATTAGATACCACAATATAATCTTATTTTATTATTAGTGAGTGAGTATGGTATTACGCCGCTTTTAGCAATATTCCAGCAATATCACGGCGAGAGACACCAGAAATACTAGCCCTTTAAGACAAAATTTGTCTTGAAAAACAATATGTTTTTAAACCTGTTACAAGCAGCCGCATGCCAATACGGCACCTTGGCGTACGCAACGTTTACATACAAATTGTAATGTTCAAAAGAGTGAGTAAGGGTTTTCAGCAATATCCCATTAGTTAATGCTGCTTTAGTGACGGGTAGCCTAGTGGTTAAGGCGTCACGCTTGTTCGATTCCCCAAATGGGTACAATGTGAGAAGCCCATTTCTGGTGTCCCCCGCCGTGATATTGGAGGAATATTGTTAAAAGTGGCATAAAACTAAACTCACTCACTGATTCTGCTTTAGTAATTTGTCAGTTACTCGTGGGATGTCTGGCCATCCAGCTGGTGTCGTACGCTCAAGAAGTGTTGACCTGTGTTGATGTGTCCACGAGATTCTTGGAAGGGTTCTGGGCACTCATGCAAGTCTCGCCTCCAGTTTGGTTGGTATTTGTGCCATACTGGAGCCTCACCGGGCTGCGAAGATGAAAGCATTTTTTCTGTTTGACGTTCCCTAACCTAGTTCTAAACCTGCTCCGAGGGGTCAGCTCTAACTAGGTGAAGTACGTGTGATTCTCTTTGGTTTGGTATAAATCCTTGCCCCGACACTGAGAGGCGTACATCATCATCATCGTCGTCGTCGTCGTCGTCATCAGCATCAGCAACAGCAGCAGCAGCATCATCATCATCATCATCATCATCATCATCATCATCTTCATCATCATCTTCATCATCATCATCATCACTATATTTAGACACTGCACGTATCCAGCTGTGTAAATCCTTTTCACATATCGGGAGGGGCGGTGGGGAATCGAACCCGAGCCTTCGGCGTGACGAGCGAACGCTATAACCACTTGGCTACCCCACCGCCCCGTCGTGTCCCAGACACAGTGTTAGCACATCTGTACTTAAGAGTGTCTGTTGTGAACTTGATATCGTCAGCTCTATTAAGTCGTTGTGACCAGGCGGGGTGCTACGTTCCAGTGAAGGGCGACAGGTTTGTGTGCTATAAAATGTAGGCTATCGCTAGATCTGAGCATTCATGCGCAAGATTTCTTTTTATCTGAAAAAAGCTTGTAAATTATAGATATTAGATACCGCAATAGAATCTTATTTTCACCAGTAAAGTCAGTCGTTGTTCATTATTGTGCTAAACTTAACAATGCTCAATAAAATCCTGGCTTTTTTCAATGAAAAGCGACTCTATATACACTATATATGTCATAATGCAAAAAACATAGACATGTATCAGTTGTCATGACGACGTAGATAGTTGAGGGGCGGTGGGGTAGCCTAGTGGTTAAAGCGTTGGCTCGTCACGCCGGGTTCGAATCCCCACAAGGGTACAATGTGTGAAGCCCATTTCTGGTGTTCCCCGCCGTGATGTTGCTGGAATATTGCTAAAAGCGGCGTAAAACCAACCTCAGTCAGTCAGTCAGTCAGTAGAAAGTTGATCATATCATCATTCACTGGTTTGCCTGGTCGATTGTGAGTGAGTGAGTTTAGTTACATTTTTTGTCAATTATTTCGACTTGTCCAGAACAATCGAATCAACAGTGAGTTCAGTTTTACGTCGCACTCAGCAATATTCCAGCTATATGTATGTACATAATGGTGTCTGGACCAGACAATTCCGTGATCAAAAGCATAAGCATCGATCTAGGCAATTGGGATACAAATCCAGCCTCACGCCCCTTTAATGTTTAATCTCAGTTATTATTGACCGTAGGTCAGGATTAATCGTATCATGATATTAGGGGCGTGTCAAAATCTCCGGCTGTGTAAATACAACATTCTCAGTAAGAGAGCACGTCGGTGTTTACACGTGTGCACGATCCCGTTAGTCGCCTCCTGTGATATTGTCAAGAGTTACAAGGACAGAATGAATGAATCAACGAACGACTGACTGACTGAGTTTGGTTTTACGTCGCTTTTAGCAATATTCCAATAACATCACGGCGGGGGGACACCAGAAATGGGCTTCACACATTGTGTCCATGTGGGGATTCGAACCCGGGTCTTCGGCGTGACGAGCCAACGCTTTAACCATGAGGCTACCCCACCGCCCCCGAATCAACGAACGAACGAACGAACGAACGATGTTACAATTGAAACAGGACTTGTAAAATGAAAATGACGATTTGCAGCATTTTCATTTTACGACTGAGATATAAACACAGAGAACTGAACCCGGTTGGGAATCGAACCCGAACGCTTTAATCACTCTGACTTTCCAAAACCACCATGACAGCATGTCATGTCATGAAACAGTCATGGCATGATTATACAGTCACGCCATCTTTCCATACTGTTCTCGTTACGACTAATATCATAACGTCAATCAATACCTTCAGCGAATAGGGACAGGGACAGGTCTTCACGGGGCTAGCCACACCCAATAGTGATCAATATTAGTTGTCACTCAATTAGTTCTTCTGCTGAATGCTCGCGTGGTCTGCAGGCTACTTGACAATGATTTTCCTAATGTCACGGAAAGAGATGACGACGAGGACGCAACCATGACAGTGTGTAAATGTAGACCAAGGTTGTTTGATTACAAATGAAATGGACCGCCTCCGTGGTGTAGTGGTTAGAGCGTCAGCCGGGAGAGCGGAAGGTCGCGGGTTCGATCCCCGGTCGCGTCATACCAAAAGACGTTAAAATATGGTACTTGTTGGTCCCTGCCTGGCGCTCGGCATTAATGGGTACAACAAGGACTGGTCGGCTCGGAGTCAGTATAATGTGTCTGAGTGGGGTATTCATGCTTCACTGCGGCATGGTATCTCAGTGGGCTAGCACTATAACACCGGCTTAAGTCTGGGCTAGTACAAGCAGCTACACATACACACGCATGCACGTCGTCATATGAGCGAAATATTCTCAAGCACGACGTTAAACCCACTTCCACCTCACCTCACAAATGAAATTTGTCTGTAAATATCAAACGTTCAGTTGCAAGGGTTACATTATTCATGTGGGTTCAGCCGCAGCTAACTTGAGTGAGTGAGTATGTTTTTTGAAATATTCCAGAAATATCCCGGTGGGGGACACCAGAAATGGGCTTCACACATTATACCCATGTAGGGAATCGGACGACCGGACGCTTTGAGCATTAGACTACCCCACCGCCCCCAGTTCAAACTGCAGCTATATACGTCACACAAACATGTTCAGCCCGAAAACAGGTTACTTCTCCAAAGCAGACAATTAGATTCAATCCAGGTTCAGTCCAAGCGCAGGTAAATCCCACACGGCAAACAAACAGGTTCAGTCCACAGGCAGGTTACTCAACAAATGAAAGCAATCCGGTTCAGTCCAAGGGCAGTTTACTCTTTCTAGGCATGCAAACAGATTAAGTCCAAGGGCAGGTAACTCCCACACGGCAACCAAAAGGTTCAGTCCACAGGCAGGTTACTCACCAAATGAAAGCAATCCGGTTCAGTCCAAGGGCAGTTTACTCTTTCTAGGCAAACAGGTTCAGTCCACGGGCAGGTTACTCAACAAATGCAAGCAAGCAAAATATGCAAGCACTGGGAGAGGAAAACATATTTATTTCACTGGCAATTGGTTTAGAAACAGAGAAAATTACACGTACGAGCCAAACAGCTCCGTCGAAAGGTAGATAACTCTCACGAGACTCACGAGAGAACATCTAGGAAAGATAACTCACTCAATGCAGAGAAACCGGTTTCAGAACGAGACGTAACTATTCGCCAAAGGCTGGTATATATACCTTTGATGTGTTCGAGACAAAAGAAGGAATGTACACAAATGTATATGTCTGGGCCATTAAAGATCATACAAGCTCATCCCAAGGAGTTGAATGTCGGGTGTCGCTTTCTCGAAACATTCAGTCCGGAACGAAGCGTTTACTACCACGCCTCGGCGACCTCTGCATTGTGATACCCGACCTCTCTATACGTTGAAAGATTTTAAACCTTGTCGTATAGTATATATAAAGTTATATCGCAAAGTTTCAGGGGAAAATAAACACATACTTATGTGCTATAGCCCCGACACAGACACGTCAACAGTCGCCAGGCTCCTACCGTCAAGGGGTGTCAGTCGATTCCGTTTTCGAAATTTCAATTTATGTCTATTATGGGGATTCTTAGATAGCTTAACAGACTAGACCTGATCCTCTTTGGAACGGACCTCCTCAATGCGAACACCCACCAATCCGGACGGCTTCTGTTAGGTACACGTTAGTGTGTGCATGTTTAGTACGTGGCCATGACTTGTCAAATGTTTATATACTCATGCCAATAATGGTTGTCACCCCCTTCAATTTTTGTAATTGGAGAGGGGGTGTGGGGAATGAGGGTGTGAGGTGTGTGGGGGTTGGGGTGGGGAAGGGGTGACAACCATTATTGGCATGAGTATATAATAGATAGATATGTTGTTTCGATTAACTCTGTTCTGCTTTGTTGTTTGTGTTTGGTATTGATATCACAGTCAGTAATATTTTAGTTTTAAGATGTTGGTCTAGATGTTGTGGGCCGCGATTAGCGATACTCATGAGTGAATGAGTTCTGTTTTAGGCCGCACTCAGCAGTATTCCAGCTGTATGGCGGCGTGCGATATTCAAGATATAATACAATAGTCTGCAAACACGTGGCTGACAGCATGAGCAAAGTTCAGGCGACCACCCGATCCCAAGTAAACAGCTTTTACTTCAACCTTTGGGGTGTTATCGAATATTTACAAGTCAAAACTAAGTGTATTTGCAAAGGCGTTCTGAGTAAGGTCTGGTGCTTTTCTCGCCCTATATAGTATCCCAATATGGGATAATATTACAATATAAAGCTTTTAGGGCGTAGTTGTGTCAATACGTACTGACATGGAATACACAGAAATGCCACAGGTTACACGAATCTGAAGACCAGTGAAGATCCGAATTAGAATTGATCTTCAGTAACCCATGCTTGTCGTAAGAGGCGACTAACGGGATCGGGTGTTCAGGCTCGCAGACTTGGCTGACACATGTCATCGTATCCCAATTCTGTCGATCGGTGCTCATGTTGTTGATCACTGGATTGAGAGGTACAGACTCGATTATTTACAGACCGCCGCCGTATAGCTGGAATATTGCTTGTACGGCGTTAGACAACAAACAAACAAAACATAATACATACCTGTCAGTGGGAGGAGCGTGTACCAGAGGTTGTGTCCGGACTCACTCATCCACTCAACCATCAACTCACTCACTCAACCATCAACTCACTCACTCAACCATCAACTCACTCACTCACCTACTCAACCATCAAGTCACTCACTCACTCAACCATCAACTCACTCACTCACCTACTCAACCATCAAGTCACTCACTCAATCAACCATCAACTAACTCACTCATCTACTCACTTACTCAACCATCAACTCACTCACTCAACCATCAACTCACTCACTCACCTACTCACTTACTCAACCATCAACTCACTCACCTACTCACTTACTCAACCATCAACTCACTCACTCACTCAACCATCAACTCACTCACTCACCTACTCAACCATCAACTCACTCACTCACCTACTCAACCATCAACTCACTCACTCACTCAACCATCAACTCACTCACTCACCTACTCAACCATCAAGTCACTCACTCAATCAACCATCAACTCACTCACTCATCTACTCACTTACTCAACCATCAACTCACTCACTCACTCAACCATCAACTCACTCACTCACCTACTCACTTACTCAACCATCAACTCACTCACTCACTCAACCATCAACTCACTCACTCACCTACTCACTTACTCAACCATCAACTCACTCACTCACCTACTCACTTACTCAACCATCAACTCACTCACTCACTCAACCAACCATCAACTCAGAATTACACTCCATTACTCCGAGAGATTTTGTCCCTCCTAAAACAAATAAAAAGACAACAGGAAAACAAACAAACAGCCTTAAAGCCATTGTTGAATTGCGGGGCGGTGGGGTGGCAAAGTGGTTTAAGCGTTCGCTCGTCACACCGAAGACCAGAGTTCCATTCCCCACCTGGGTACAATGTGTGATGCCCATTTCTGTGTCATCCGCCGTGATGTTGCATGACTAGGGGTGGGTATTGCAGAGAATTTTCATATTGCGATATATTGCGATGCGAAGCATATATTGCCATATGTATTGCAATATATTGCATGAAGTATTTTTAAACAAAAACTACTTATAATCGAGTTACTTATTTATAGAGCAAAAACACAACAAACTCACTAGGCTTCATTAAGCTTTAAGTACAACTTTTAATCATGAAAAAATAAACATGTGAATAATATTTGGCACAAATTAAACAAGGACATATCCGAACATTTCCGAGTGTTACGAAGTTTTCCGAATGGAAGTCAAAATACCGGTTTTCGATCAGCGTATCGCAAAACGTATCGTTTTCATGTCTGAACCGGTAAATACCGGTAAACCGGTTATATTGCGCAGCCCTATGCATGACTATTGCTTAAAGCGGCGTAAAACCTTACTCACTCATTTTTAATCTTGCTGAAACTGTCGAGAGTAGTATTAAGGTCATTCTGGTTCGTCAGTTTAGCGTACGCATGTACTTTTGGCTTATGATCCCACTTAATCAGAGCGTGAAGTAGGTCGACACCCAACCATTTGAAAACTACTTTGTCCAGGTGGGGTTAATGATCGATACCTTCGGGTACTGTTCATTTTAAATATATACGTTAAGGGTGATCGAATAGCTAAAAAGTGCTAAATTCTCTCGTATTTGGATGTGCACCGACTGTCAATCTGAAAAAAACTACTCTCCTTCCCTCTCACTTGATTTCTCTCTCGGGGCGGTGGGGTAGCCGAGTGGTTAAAGCGTTCGCTCGTCACACCGAAGATCCGGGTTCGATTCCCCACACGGGCACAATGTGTGAAACCCATTTATGGGTGTCCCCGCGGAGATATTGTTGGAATATTGCTGGAATATTGCTAAAAGCGACGTAAAACCATACTCACTCACTCACTCTCTATTACTCTCTCCCTCTCTCTTTCTATCTCTCCCCCTCCTCTTTCTTTCTCTTCCCCTCCTCTTTCTTTCTCTCCCCCTCCTCTTTCTTTCTCTCTTGCTCTCTTACTCCCTCACCTCTTCCCCCTCTCTCTCATTAGCCGGGTTTTATTGTATCCGACCCACTGTACTTTGCCCCAAAAAACTTGCACCACTTACCCAACCGAACCCAGAGAACGTTAAAACAACAATCGATGAAAACTGTCTCACAACACGTTCATCGACCGCACGTGCTTTCAGTGCAGCGAGTGTATGATTGATTGACGCGTTGTACATCTCCATGTACATTGCAAGCTCGAGGACGGGCGGTACTGAGCCTTGCGACTGGGGCGTGGTCTCCATGAGGTGAGAACCTGCTCATGTTGGGCGTGGTTCTGTCAAACTCTGGGCCGTAACCAAGATACCACTGCTGATGTCACACTTTACAATAAACAACATCAATACTATCAGTAACAGTAATAACAATGAGAGCTTTAGTATCATTTTACGCCGCTATATCATTCCATGTATAACAAGGAGTGGTAATGCTGGACAGAAGACCATAATGAAAATCTGGGTGACGTGCAACAAGTAAGGTTACACAACTCGGGCTTCACACATCGTACCCATGTGGGAAATTTAACCCGGGTATTCGGCGTGAACTCGTTAACCACCGTCCCTGGTCGCCTGGGGTGAGTGAGTGAGTGAGTGAGTTTGGTGTTACGCCGCTTTTAGCAATATTCAAGTGAGTGAGTGAGTTTAGTTTTACGCCACTTTTAGCAATATTCCAGCAATATCACGGCGGGGGACCTTGAATTTAAAATGTATCCAATTTACCTCATATCATATTTCTCTTTTATTGACTTATATATGTGTATTAACATGATATTGACATAGTACCTGTACATCATCCATCTGTCTGTACATCACTGTTCTACATACGACATTGTAATCCTGGAAACCAATAAAAATAAAAATTAAAAAAAATATTCAAGTGAGTGAGTGAGTTTAGTTTTACGCCGCTTTTAGCAATATTCCAGCAATATCACGGCGGGGGACACCAGAAATGGGTTTCACACATTGTACCCATGTGGGGAATCGAACCCGGGTCTTCGGCGTGAAGCAATATTCAAGCAATATCACGGCGGTGGACAGAAGAAATAGGCTTCACACATTGTACCCATGTGGGGAATCGATCCCGGGTCTTCGACGTGGCGAGCGAACGTGGTCGTCAAGAACGTACGCTTGTCGTAAGAGGCGATCGAGCGGTCAAGCGACTTGTTTGTAGCATGTCGTGGCATCCAAGTTGAGTAGATCACAATATCAATCACCGAGCACAACTGACGGCGGTCTGTAAAAATCACTCGTGAAGGTCCGGGTCAGAATGAACCTTCAGTAACCCATGCTTGTCGTAAGAGGCGACTAACGGGATCGGGTGATCAGGCTCGCTGACTTGGTTGACACATGTCATCGGTTCCCAATTGCGCAAATCGATGCTTATGCTGACGGTCACTGGATTGTCTGGTCCACTCACCCACTCACTCGCTGTAAATAATCGAGTCTGGACCAGACAATCCGGTGATGAATAGCATGAGCATCGATCTGTGCAATTGGGATACCATGACATGTGTCAACCAAGTCAGCGAGCCTGACCACCAGATCCCGTTAATCGCTTCTTACCACAACCACGTGAAGACCAGTTCTAACCCGAATCTTTAGAATTCCGTGTAGGGACAAAGGTCCCCAGTAACCTTCACCTTTTGTGAAAGACGGCTAAGTGGAACGGGGACAGGCTGGCTTGGGGTCGCTCAGTCCTTGTTACCTCCCCTTAACGCCGAGCGCCAGGCACTGTAACAACAAGTGTCCTCTTTAACCTCTTTTGGTATGGGGCGACTGGGGATCCAACCATCGACATTCCGCTTCCCCGGCAGTCGCTGTACCCACTACACCATCGAAGCGGTCACATTTACCTGAATCAAGACAATGTGAGTGAGTTTAGTTTTACGCCGCTTTTAGCAGTATTCCAGCAATATCACGACAGGGGACACCACAAATGGGCTTCACATATTGCACCCATGTGGGGAATCGAACAGGGTCCTCGGCGTGACGAGCGAACAACTGAACCACTAGGCTACCCATCTTCCCCCCAAGACAACGCAGTTCGGTGTTATTGCGCTGAGACATGGCATCTTATAGGTTGCCATGAGTCGGTTGGAGTATTGCGGCGTTAAACAACATGTTATACTGCTTGATACTGGACAATAGATGTGCTTTCACATATCATGACTAACGGGATCGGGTGGTCAGTCTCGTTGACTTGGTTGACACATGTCATCGATTCCCAATTGCGCACATCGGTGCTCATGCTGTTGATCACTGGATTGCCTGGTCCAGACTCGATTATTTACAGACCGCCTCCATATAGCTGGAATATTGCTGAGTGTGGCGTAAAACTAAACTCACTCACTCAATGTTCATGTTATCGCCCATCGGTTTGAACTATCCCGTTTCGGTTATTTTATGTATATTTGTACTTGCCTTAGTGGCAGTAGAGTAGCCTGGTGGTTTAAGCGGTTTCTTGTCACGCAGCACCCCGGGTTCTATTCCCCATGTGGTGCAGTAAAACCCATGTGTGGTGTCCCTGGAGGAAATTGCAGGAATTTTGCTAAAAGCAGCGTTAGCCGCAACTCACTCACTCTTTGTACCTGTCAAACAAATTATCATCCATTATTGAAAAAACGTGTTAATGGAGATACACAAAACTATATGAATTGTTACCAACACTTGTCGTGAAAGCCAACCCCAAACAAACGTATTCTGATACGTTGAGATATCACTGAAACCTACAATGTACTACTCAACGTCAGCTGACGGATGAAATCTACAGAAATATACAAGCCGACGATCGAGCCTCGCCCATGTTGTACACAAGTAATTAACAGATCCCGAATACCAATAGACGAGGCTTGGCATCATCAGCACATCGATTATGTGAGGTATAAACTTATGAGCCGTTCAACTGTAGGTCAGTGATGCACGTGCTGCACGCGGCTACAGGGCGCGGCACATCAAAGCGCGGATGTAATGAACATAGTGCTGCAATAGACATCACTTGTGACAGTTGACGAGCGGTCGTGGTCTCGCTCTCTCCATGACACGCAACAAGTAGGACCAGGTATGTTGAACACGGTTTACAGTTCGTAACGGACAATAGCAACGTTACGAAGTGTGGGTTAGGATTAGGTAATTTCGGGGTTGGAGAAGACTGACATTTAACGTATTCATTGCGTTGCCTGAGGGAATATTTCTGTTGGACGGGGACCTTGAAATCTTATACGCAGTGAGTATTACAAGACAAATCTTATGGATAGCAACTTCTTGATTTATTTCTCACGCAGTGAGTATGGGTTGTGATTTATCCGATATCTCGTATGAGCGTTATATTGAAGTCGTGTATGTAAAGAAGTAGTCCAAACCTTGGAGAGAGGAAGTTCCGGGTTATAAATGTCCCACCAATCTATGCTGGTTGGAACACTTGATATAATTAGGGGTCAGACTTGTTTGACCGTGGGTCAGAGTACGGCGTTTATCGTTGAGGATGTTCTCAATCACTGGATTGTCTGGTCTAGACTCGATTTTGTACAGATCGACGTCATGTTTCTAGAATAAGGCTGAGTGTGGCAACATCGACACGCCTTTACTGGGGGTAGTTTCGTGATCGGGGCGGTGGGGTAGTCTAGTGGTTAAAGCGTTGGCTCGTCACGCCGAAGACCCGGGTTCGAATCCCCACATCGGTACAATGAGTGAAGCCCATTTCTGGTGTCCCCCGCCGTGATATTGCTGGAATATTGCTAAAAGCGGCGTAAAACCAAACTCAGTCAGTCAGTCAGTTTCGTGATCAGTTATATTTGGTTACCATTTCTGGGTTCGAATCCAAAATGATAACACAAGTTTAAAGAGTGGATTTGTATTAGAAAGCAACATATTATTTATGTTCCTCTGCTAGTCGACTTTGATCACTCTTTCAGGTGATATGAAAAAATGTATTCACAACGAGCATGCATGGAAGGTCACATTTCACCAAATAGCTGTCATCATCTATGGAGAGTTGCTTCCCTTTTCCATTTCAGGATCCATGGTAGTAGGTTCGACGATAGATACATATTATCCTTCTTCTGTAACCACCGCGCCCTTGCTGTGGACCCGTGAAGATCCGGGTTAGAATTGATCTTCAGTAACCCATACCTGTCGTAAGAGGCGACTAACGGGATTGGGTGGTCAGATTCGCTGACTTTGTTGACACATGTCATCGTATCCCAATTCCGTAGATCGATGCTTATGCTGTTGATCACTGGATTGTCTGGTCCAGACTCGATTAAACACAGGCCGGCGGCATATAGCTTGAATATTGTGCGGCGTAAACCTAAACTCACTCACTCACTCCGACCGACAGGCAGGGAAACAACAAGTACCATCGATTAACGTATTTTCCGTATGACGCGATTGAAATACCAGCCTTCCGCTCACCGACCACGCGCGTTATCAAACAGACCGTGAGGCGGTAATAGAGAAAGACCTGATGATTGACTTACATTCCTGTGGAACTGACAATGATGGAAAGTAACCCTTACTTCCGCATTTTAATACTTGACGGAATTGCATGTTCCGTGACAAATGAGGTGAGGTGAGGTGAAATTGGGTTTAACGTCGTGCTGGAGAATATTTCGCTCATATGACGACGTGCATGCATGTGTATGTGTATGTGCGGCTGCTTGTACTAGCCCAGACTTAAGCTGGTTTTATAGTGCTAGCCCACTAAGATACCATGCCGCAGTGAAGCATGAATACCCCACTCAGATACATTATACTGACTCCGAGCCTAGACCAGTCCTTGTTGTACCCATTAATGCCGAGCGCCAGGCAGGGACCAACAAGTACCATATTTTAACGTCTTTTGGTATGACGCAGCCGGGGATCGAACCCGCGACCTTCCGCTCTCCGGGCGGACGCTCTAACCACTACACCACGGAGGCGGTCCCGTGACAAATGTCGTATATCTACATACGGAATTTGCTTAGCACTTTTCGTTCTAGATTTCTGACATCCTGAACCTTCAGGTATCTTTTGCAAACATTTACATAATATATAATAATCAGGGAAATGCGGTCTGTGATACAGTGGATTGTATTCTCCACAAGAACACGCACGCACGCACGCACGCACGCACGCACGCACGCACGCACGCACACACACACGTTCATAAATTATGAACGGTGCCTGAAGAAAAAAGCGTTATTTTTCCGATTGATAACACAGTTAGGTGCTGACACTAATCCAAACAGTCTAAATGTGTTTGTTAGTAGGAGACGGGGATAGTATATATCAATTTAAAAGAACAGAAGTAAATATAACGTTTCAGATTGAAAAAAGAAACAAAACACCCGTGGTGTCCATCCTGTTCACGTCGGCTTGTTACCCGGCGCATGTACTGCACGAGCAATGTAAGACACACATGTGAAACACGCATTTACCGTTGGCGTGAGATTGGCCTCGTGCGGGAGTGGTTGTCGTGTTTACATTGAGGAGGCGAACCATTCGCATGATTTGCACGTGCATTCCTTGATTTAGGCTGAGGCAGTTGTTTATGCCTGTTGGCGCGTGAACAACAGGCCACTCAGATTTATATTGCTTTGATGTACAGATTGTTCTCGTCACGGTGTGGTTGAAATTAACTCACTCACTCAATCAACCACCCTTTGTTCTCAAACATTGAAGCCAGGGGGAATGTTTGCGCAACATGTCTGTTGCGGGTTCGATTCCCATAATGGGTAAAATTATTTGTGGTGTCCCCCGCCATGATATTTGAGTGAGTGAATTTAGTTTTACGCCGCTTTTAGCGATATTCCAGAAATATTACGGCGGGGGACACCAGAAATGAGCTTCACACATTGTACCCATGTGGGGATTCGAACCCAGGTCTTCGGCGTGACGAGCCAACGCTTTAGCCACTAGGCTACCCACCGCCCCTTCAGATCTTGGGGGAACGTTTACCCAACATGTCTGTGGAGGGGTTCGATTCCCATGATGGGTAAAGTCATTTGTGGGGTCCCCTGCCATGATACTTGAATATTTTTAAAACCGATTTTTTTATTAATGTAATTAAAGTAATTGATTTCAGTGCTCTTTAACTTTCGTTGATATCGTTAATAACATAAAACAATCATATTTTTGTGGCGGTCTAACCTGCGGTACTCGAGAGACGTGCTACCCGTCGTATAACCGCATTTATACCTAGTCACGTGATACGCTCGGATTCAAGTTTAAACAATGTTGTTTTCGTGTACCATGTAATTGCTGTTGGGAACACAATAATCATTGAGTTACAAAATGTAGCATTTATCGATTACACATTAGTTATTATTGTACAATGTACATATTTGGTTTATGCTTGTTTTATTTTCCAATTTTAAACTGAATTGCCTCTGTATATATTGTTAAACCTATTTACTTGTTGACGAAAGTGATAATTTATGCACGCATATTTTTTTCTTAGAAGTCATGCTTGGTGCATTTAACAATCCTTATGAATAGTTTGACTTGTTGTTTTCATAAATTTTGTTATAAAAAATCTGAATACTTTGTAAATAGTCCAATTTTAATATTGAACATTTTAAAACGTAAAAATGTTAAGATGTACTATGTGATTCATTCATAAACTCATTATTTTCATTCGAAAGAATAAATAATTTTGAGAAAATTATAGCTGTTTGTGACACAAAGGATTGCCGTGTACAACTGTATTTCATCATTGACTTCAATTCTTTCGCAAAAATGATTTCAGTATGCGAAGTGAATATGTTGCCATACTTTCGTAACGGTAGCCGAAGCATCGGGCGATACCGGCTTCGCGTAATGAGAACATAGCCTCATTATGCGGGACCACAGCCTCATACTCATTGCTATCCCATAATTTCTGCTTTTCTGGCTGTTCCGTCAATTGAACGTACATCAACCTGCGCATTATTGCGCGTTCGTGTGCGTTTCAAGGTAAGGTTTCTCTAATGTATATTCGGGTATTTTCATTCATCGGTCTTTCTTTTATCAAATGCATACGTGATATTGTATTACATGCGTTTTTATTTCTTACCGACAGGAAAGTTTTACAATTGGAAACCCCCCTTCGCCACCACACCCTAATGTTAACCGTATGACTCTATAGTCGAAGCTGAATTTGCGAATTTTGAACAATTCGCTCGGAGTAAGACAAGTTGAAACTGGGACCGTGCCCCCGACGCTTATTGAGAGGAATTGGGGGACGGAAGGGGGGACAGTAGTGATTCTGGACTGCTTCGCCGGACGGAAGGACCGAGCGACAACTATTGACTGGCGAGCGAGAACGACAATCTCCTCGTCAAAATGGCGTGCTGTCTAACAGAGGAATTGAAAGAGCAGAAGCGAATTAACCAAGAAATTGAACGCCAGCTTCGCAAGGACAAGCGGGATGCTAGACGCGAGTTGAAGTTGCTTCTATTAGGTAAGTATTTGCTGAAGAAATGCTTCATTTTGACCACATAATACATGTGTTTTTATTCCTGAAGTAAACGTCTGTCTTCGTATGTAGGGTTTACCAAGCAGCCATGTTGGCCAATAATTAAATGTTTAGAGCCATTTTGACATTATTATGTTGAATGCATCTATGCACTATAGGAATTGAGGTAGTATGCGAACGCAAGAGACGTTTGCAGCTTTATTTAGGTGTAAAATATCCTATGCCGGCAGTTGGTTTGGCTTGAAGTTAGCGTGGGACGCCATGTTGGATTTATACGGAACATTGATGCATATATAATTCATTTAGAACGATCTATATTCCTCGATGGCTGTGCACATGCAGATGGGGTATAGCGCGTGCAGGTGCACCCCAGTTGAAATATAACGCTATTCATATGTAATATTTCTTCTACGAGGGGTTAAGATAGGTCTACTTTTGTTCGGAGCTGGAAATCCAAGACAAGCAGTACCAAGTGGCATCTTCCGCCAACAGGGCCTTCGGATCTTGAAGTAAAGATACACTTGAAGATTTGCAGCCAAAATATTCCGTTATGTTACCATGTTCTCCAGTGCAGGTGCTCGTTGACTTAGGATGTGCAATACCCGTTTGTTTTGACAGTTGTCAAATGTACAATAGAGCATGAACACCGACTTGCTGCAGTACTGTCATGGCTGCTTCGGAAGCCAGCATTAATAAATCGTCTATTTTTGCAAATTATTTATGTAAATTATTTGATGAGTGTAAATAAAATGTTTTATTAGTGTATTTTAGCAGGGAAAGATTATAATGAGGGGGCTGTCCCTCATATCATCCTGTGTTGGGGTATTTGGGATTTGACAGAAGTGACATGATTTTGTGATCCATTTGCAAAGCAGACCCCCTCTCCCTGTTTTGTCTAAAACATAAATTGACTTGCAGATATCAGTGCTATATCGTCTGTGGAAGGATTTTGTTCTCGGAAAGGTGCTTAACATTAATATCAGTATGAATTTATCACCAAAACAATCAACTTTAGACTTTTCATTTTTATGGTGATGTTTAGTGAGTCTGTTGTGAGAAAAAATAACCCACTTTTCACTTTCCTGTCTAAGTACAGAATATGGGTGTTTTCCTGAAATGACCATTGTTGAGAGTTGCCAATCTTTGCCACAAGTACATTCAATCTAATGACAGTTGATTGTCAGTATTTCATCGATGCAGTGTTTTGTTTATTGCAGCTGGAAGCTCCATAAGTTTAAGAAGTACAGAAATGCAATGGGCTGAAAATCTATATATTACCAATTCCCTATTCTGTTACAAGCAATTTGAATATTACAAATGTTTGGCACAGTGGAAGTTAGGTACATGGATACTCGGGGCAAGAACCAACACAATCTTTTCATACTGAACCTTATCTTGTATTCCCACTGTTTTTTTTCTACTTTTGAAAATGCTTGAACCAAAATGGTTTCCAAATGAAGTGAAATTCAGGCTTCAGATTTCAAGTGAAGTATTATGATGATTGGATGGATTGGTTTGTTGTTTTACACCCCAGTCGGCAATACTCCAGCTATGTTGGATGGAAGCATTGTGCAGAGGCCCAGATAAGCTGCGTATCCGGGTAAAATATGCAGAGAAAATTTTCAATTACGCACTGAAAAAATAATTGTTGCATACCAGTTATGCATTTAAAATGTTAGATACGCAAAAAGTGTGAAACAAATGCGTACGGAATATATTTATAAAAATTGCTTGCGTAATGCAAAAGACATAGATTGCTATCAAGTTGTACTGTTAGTATAGGACAAGTGTTGTACTGGATTAGAGATTTTTTATGAAATCATTTCCATTATATTTAAGTTGGTTTTGATTAGGTATGACATAAGGCAGAACATACCTGCTTAGTAAACTTACTCAATGACATAATACTTAGGTGAGTAAAATGACTGAAATACGCACATATTTGAAAGCAGTGGGTAACGGAAAATGAAATACCCACTCAACATTCATAATACCCACTCCCCAAAAATACAGTGGGTACAGTACCCACATGAGCTAAACCTTATCTGGAGCTCTGAGCTATGTTGGATGGAAGCATTGTGTATCCGTTCTTGGGGGCAGTGGGGGTAGCCTAGTGGTTAGAGTGTTCGCTCATCATGCTGAATACCTGGGTTCGATTCCCAACATGGGTACAATGTGTGAAGCCCATTTCTGGGGTCCCCTACCGTGATGTTGCTGGAATGTTGCTAAAAGCGGGGTAAAACCAAACTCACTCACTCACTCTAACCGTGAGGCTTCCCCCACCTCTCCTCTAAACTAAAACTCACTCACTCACTGTCTGGTTAAGTATACTGTAGTGTATCTTTGGTGGTAAAAAAACATTGATTGGATCTGTAAAATGCAAGGTTGTTGGTCATGTTTAGCTTGAGAATTATGTAACCTGCTTATCAAGGTGGAAGAATTTGTAAGAGATTTTGAAATGGGAATCTTCTGTCTTCATGACGGGGCTGTGACATAGTCTAGTGGTAAAAGTGCTCGCTCATCACGCCAATCACCTGGGTTTGATTTCCCACAAGGGTACTATGCGGAGGCCCATATCTGGTGTCCTTTGCCATGATATTGCTGGAATATTGCTAAAAGCGGTGTAAAACTAAACTCGCCCCTTTCTAAATCCAAACCCTTTAACCTCCTTTACTCGGGAGGGCCTGGTCTGACTCAGTGAGGACAATCAACACTAGATATAATGAAGTCGGCGATATCGATTTTCTGATATAATAAATCTATTCTTTCAATAGTTTTGAAATAATGAGCCCCGTCATGATATTGCTGGAATATAAAATATCACAATATAAAATTGGCTTTAACTAAATTTAACTCACTCACGCTTTATGACAGTGTAGAGAGTGATCCTTAAGAAGTGTGGTAGCTTTCCACACTGTAGTCGTTTAAAAATTGTCTTAAGGGTGGGAGGTAATTCTGTAGCAAAGACCCTGACAGTATGTAACATTTGGTGTTAACCTGTATGTGGGTCATGCTCATGCTATCAATCCCTGGTTTACTTCTGATTGTGGGGCGGTGGGCTAGCCTAGTGGTTAAATCGAGGTTCGATTCCCTACATGGGTACAACAGGGATTTACGTTGAGTCCTGTATTTGAGGGTCCCTGGGACTCATGCTTAGAATTTTCAGGGGTATCATGGGGTATCATTGTGTATCATGATAAACACATTAATTGTTACTGTAATTAAATTGCAAATGATACCATAACCCAGCTAGTAGCAAACTCAGTGATAACTTATTGTTACTTGATTGGAAATTTTTAGAATGATTTTGACTTTTCTATGTCCCTGTGGATGCTCTAATAAATTTTGTTGTGTCCATTGTCAATTTTTATGGGTATAGGACGCAGGAATTTGCGTCCTGTAAATCCCTGGTACAATGTGTGAAGCCCATTTCATGGCGGCTGTCTGTAAATAATCGTGTCTGGGCCAGACAATCCAGTGATCAACAGCATGCACATTCATCTGCGTAATTGGGAACCGATGACTTGTCAACCCAAGCAGCGAGCCTGACCATCCCATCCCGTTAGTCACCTCTTACAACAAGCACGGGTTACTGAGGATCAATTCTAACCCAGACCTTCACGGGGTCTACAGGTACAGACTAGTACACACAGACAGGGCACATATATGTGTATCCAAGTTAGCAATATAAAAGTGTTAGACACTGTTAAACCCCATTTCCCCCTTCATGACACATCCAAGATTTTAAGAATTGGTGTTATAAATTATCATAAGAAATGCAAATCCGAGTACCGATCAAGAAAGTGACATTTTACCTCTCTGCAGCGGGTCGTAACAAGTGACTAAATGGCCCATTGACCTATCTTATCTTGTGGGGTAGCCTAGTGGTAAAGTGTTCGCTCATCACGCCAAAGGCACAGGTCTGATTCACCACATAGGCAGAATGTGTGGAGGCAGTTTCTGGTGCCCACACCATGATATTGCTGGAATATTGCTAAAAGCAGCGTAAAACTAAACTCACTCAATTCCACGCACTCTTGTTACGGCGTAAAAATCACTCACTCACTACTCGATCTTGCACATGGATTGTAGTTCAAAGTGTCAATCACTGGATTGTCTGGTCCAGACCTGTTTATCAAGAGGCTGATCTATAGCAGGAGCATTATTTAGTGGAGCCTGGAAAACACACCCAAGTAATGAAATTAAGAGAGGCATTTCAAAGATTGGACAAGTAGACTGACAGGTTTATAGCCCTGTGTAAACGTAAAATATTGTTATATTACTACCGCCCAGACTGGTGACGTGATACACAGAATGAGTGAGTTTGTTTTTTCTCAGCAATATTCCAGCTATATGGCAGCGGTCTGTAAATAATTGAGCCTGAACCAGACAATCCAGTGATCAACAGCATGAGCATCAATCTAAGCAATTGGGATACAATAACATGTGTCAACCACGTCATTGGGTCTGACCACCCGATGACCAGTTCTATAGCGGGAGCCAGTCCAGACTTGACTGTTTACAGACTGCCACCATATAGCTGGAATATTGCCGAGTGAGGCGTTAAGCCACAAACAAACCTTAAGGGCATGGTGATCGTATGAAGTATGGTAGTTACTAGGGCTTGGTATTGCAGAGAATTTTCATATTGCAATATATTACGATGCGAAATCATATTTAGCGATATGTATTGCAATATATTGCAAGAGGTTCTTTTTTAACAAAAAACTACTTATAATCAAGTTAATGCTTGATTTATAAAGCAAAAACACAACATGTCACCATGCTTGATTATGCTTTAATAAAAACTTTTGATCATGACAAAATAAAAATGTAAATAATATTTGGCACAAATAAAAAAAGGAAAGGAACAATTTATAAAACGGAAATATCTGAAGATTTCCGAGTGTTGCAAAGTCTTTTCGAATGCATGTCAAAATACCGGTTTTCAATCTGTGTATCGCAATACGTATCGTTTTCATGTC